TTTTTAGAGCTTCTGTTAGTTCCATCATAGTTATATTCCCCTCTAACATTATTTCAATGTCGTACAAAGAGCATTCTTGAAGAGCAGTTTCATTTTGGAAAGAGAAAGAACCTCAACCCTCTTCCACAACTTTTTCAACTTCCATACATGCCGAGTATTGATTCTTCTTATTATGAATGAGTTGCTTTTAGACATAGATTATGTATGGACAATTCACTGTACGGACAAAGAATATCTATATCTTCCTTATATGTATAATTTTGATGCTGTTGCATTGTTGATTTTCAAAATTTTCTCTTGTTTGTTATTGTTTTATTCTGTTCTATTTTATTAAGTAAATAAAGCAAAACAAAGAACCCCACCACCACTCTATTTAAAACAATGTGTTTTAATCTTTGATTAAAGATAAAAACTTTAGTTTAAAAACCAAAGATTTTTTTAGCAGTTTGATCACAGGGCTTCCTAGTGTGGCATTTATGGTGCCACCCCCTTGTCTCATTCAGAGAATTGTACAAGGGCTTCAGATGATGTTTTTTCACTGTAACTCTACTGTGTTTTCCATCCTCTCTTCCATATTTTCTCTTTCCTGGAAGAAACCAGTACAGCAAAAAGGAAAAGGCTGCATATTGTAGCTGCACCAGCAACTGTTCATCTGGAAACATGTCAGATTTCCACCACAGCATTTGTTTCAGTCCCAAAGAATATACAATTCCCCCCCCCCTCTTTTCTTAGCCAATTCAGGCAGGAAGATAAGTGAGTTGTATAATAATCAGTTCAAATCCCAAGAGTGAATGACTGATGCTTTACCTATTAATTAGCCTTTCCCTCTCTAACAAATTTAGCCATTTCACATCAAGGAAGAAGATGAAAAACAACTTCGTGTATATCAATTTTCACTTTTTATACAGCGTAGGGATTGGCTTTAAAGGTAAAAGAAAGACACCTATAATTCTGTATAGGTGACATGAATTCAAGCACTATTACACCACTCTCTCATATGTTCATTTATTTTGCATGGTTGCTTTTTTCCAGCTTGGCTCTCAAATAAATCTAGAATGGGATGTGAAACTAATAGTTTATGATCCTATAAAGTTGATAGTAAGCTATAATGGATCAGACCAAAAAAACTATATAACCCAGCTTTCTGTTCCTAGAGTAGGAAAGGAAAGACTGCAAGCAAGTTGGTGGCCATAATTATGTCCTGTGATAAATTTCATAATTTAGCCCTCCACTGCACGTGGTAGCACTTTTTTCCATAGTATTTGCCCTAAATCTCCCAGGGCTCAGCTTCATTGGATGACTAGCTTCTAGTAGATGAGTGTGGAAGAAAAACATCTATCATCAGTTTGAAATAGAGATTAAACTATTACAGATAACTCTGGAAGTATGCAAACTACAATTCTGCCCAATTTGGTGCTTTATGGACCTTTTAAAGATTAATAGCCCTTTTTTTCCTCCTACCACACAGTTACTTTTTTCTTAAATATGTGAGGTATTTAACTGCTGATGCTGCCAGTTAAAGAAGTCCTCTCATTAATGATTTCTGCCTAAAAGAACTGTAGGTACAATGTTGACGTACATCTTTCTGTGCAGAAAGAACTTGTATTTCACTGTTGTCTTCAGAAACTCAGAATCTGCCTTCAAACCCAAGAAAGAAGATAGGTATCATATTTACCAAGAGGATGGTATCTGCTGTGCATGGTATCCCAGATGAAGCTACCATTTACTAAGCCAATCAAAACCACATGGCTCCCTTTTGGAAGGTGACTGTTCAAGTAAAGCAAAGTCTTCACAACATTGGAACGCATTTGCTGAGGCTGTGTCATTTTTTTCAATGTGTCCGGACTTCTGTAAAAGAGGAAAAAAAAGAACCACACACTTTCATATGAACCATAAGTATAAATTACGAGCATTGTCTTCTTGGAAGCTACCTAATTTGAAAACAAACTAAAATAAATTACCAGACTCAAACTACCCTACTTTGGACACATTATGTGAAACCCTAGCTCTCTGCAGAAGGCTCTAATGCTGGAAAAGGTGGAAGGAAAGAGAAGATGACGACCAGCCGCGAGGTGGATGGACTCTGTTACAGTAGCAATGAGTGTATTGTTGAGAGTCCTGAAAGAATAGGTTAGGGATAGTTCATCATGTAGAAAAACTATCTATGTGGTCACTAGGAATCGAAAACGACTTGATGGCATATAATCCATCAAAAATTTGAAAATGTATTTTGCAGGGCTGCATTTGAACTCAAGCAGGTTTGTAGTTTATAACTCTGTTGCTGGAGACAGACCATCTTTGCAAAACCAAACCAAAGGGATTATTAAGCTAGTCAGAATCTGTTCTCAATTGTGCCAGAGCACAGAACATGGAATAATGGTTTTAATGTCCAGGAAGGAGGATCCAAATGAATGTCCAAGCAAACTTCCTAACAGTAACAGCAATTCAACACTGGAGCTGACTACCAAAGGCATTAGCACAGTGTTGTCCAAACTTGGCCACTTTAAGATGAGTGGACTTCACCTCCCAAATGCCCTCGGCCAGCCATGATGGCGGGGGAATTCTGGGAGTTGAAGTCCCCTCATCTTAAAGTGGCCAAGTTTGGGGAACACTGTGCTAATGCCTTTGGTAGTCAGCTCCAGTGTTGAATTGCTGTTACTGTTAGGAAGTTTGCTTGGACATTCATTTGGATCCTCCTTCCTGGACATTAAAACCATTATTCCATGTTCTGTGCTCTGGCACAATTGAGAACAGATTCTGACTAGCTTAATAATCCCTTTGGTTTGGTTTTGCA